TTATACTGGCCCGATATTCCTCCTCTATATCGGACATATTAGGAAATATGTCAATGCATATTTCCTTGTCGTCGAGAATTGCATTCTTGGCAAACAGTCGCTGGTAACTGCTAAAGGCGGCGGATCTTATACTGGCCCGATTCTGTTTGTTCTTATTCTTCTTGTTCTTTCTTTTGTTTCTATTGTTCTTCCTATTTATTCTATTGTTGTTTTCAAAAGTTTCAGGAGTGCGTGGCGATTTAGCCAGACTATTAATACATGCGGAGATAATTGGGTCGAATTCATCAAAATTTGTACTATTAAATAGGTCATAAATAGATGTTGTATATTATCGGAGCATGATGGGAGTAATTCATATATATATGTGCATATGTCGGACCGACTGAGAAGGCTGCACGTGCGCGGCTCAGCAATGGGAGAAACGGCACTATTATTATCTTCAATTGTGTGTAACAATGGCTGTGAAAAGGAGGTGTTCCCTGGAGCAACAAAATCAATGTGTTCAAGGCGCACACGCGGAGTACGTGGGCAGATAGCTCTATGAGTAACTGGTTGAGAAGAAGTGCAAGCTGAGTTTTCAAGTACTATTTGTGATAAAATGTTCTTATACGATTGGTAATTGACGGTCGTTTCTTAATGCCCTTGGCAGAACGTCCCGAGTGCAAACCTGCCAGTCGAATATTAATTTCACGCTGTGGCAGGCCAGGAGGAAGCCGCAGTTCTAGCTGGGCAAGTTATTTCTCCTCCGCAGTGGACCATTTAGTTCTGGTGGTCGGCGCTCTGATTGTTGTTAAAATAACATCCTGGGCGTTGTATTCGGTCGGGTGTGCCCGCCTCTTATGCTGCCGTAGTCCTGCATAAGTTTTAAAGCTCCGGGAACATACGTCACAGGAGTATGTCTCATCGCTACTAGGTGGCGGCTGATTACATCGTCGGATGTGTTGTTTTTGTTGCGTTACGGGCCTCGAGGTTACATTTATACTACAAGAAGGACATAACAAACACTCAAGATCCAAATGTGTATCGACGGGATTTCCATGGGACATCGCCGAGTCGTCATTTTTATCCTTAGGAGCACTTAAAGTGGAGCATAGCTCCGGAGCAACCCAGGGCTGCTAACCCTGGGTGCTCCTGACATAATGTCCATTTTGGCCGCCTCCATTGGTTCGGATCCGGCACCTTATGGGATCCTTACCTTGGCACCACGCGACCCTGCCAGGGAAGGCTTTCCAGTCGACACAACGGCAAGATGTTTATACACCGTTGTGTCCTGACCCCAACTGGTAAGTTAGATCGCCGAGTCGTCATTTTTATCCTTAGGAGCACTTAAAGTGGAGCATAGCTCCGGAGCAACCCAGGGCTGCTAACCCTGGGTGCTCCTGACATAATGTCCATTTTGGCCGCCTCCATTGGTTCGGATCCGGCACCTTATGGGATCCTTACCTTGGCACCACGCGACCCTGCCAGGGGTCAAACGTGGAGGTCGGCCTTGGGAAGGGTTTCCAGTCGACACAACGGCAAGATGTTTATACACCGTTGTGTCCTGACCCCAACTGGTAAGTTAGGGACAAGGTGAGTGTATGCGTCAGGAAACAGTATGTCATAAGTGGCAAGTTCGGAATGTTTTTTAAGTTCATTACTGTTTCTATTGTTATTAAAATTATTCCATAGCTGGTGTTTGGAATTCTAGTCTCCACCGATCAAGAAGGGAGAGCGGTGGGAGGTGAGTTTATTTAGAATGTCGCTGGACAGTCTGATAGCAGGAGGACAGTAGACTGATACAACTATTATATTAGAGGGGATTAATTTGATTGCAACGGCCTCTACGGCTCCGGTGTATAGCAGTGTGTAATGAACGTAGTTCAGGTTCTTGAGTATGTAGTAACGCCGCGCAGAGTGCCATCAAGTCTATCACGTCTAATAATGTTAAAATCGCCCAGAAATATGCTATCGCCCTGCAGTAACCAAGTATCCTGAATTGCGGCCACGACCACGTTGTTGTTAACCATAAAAAATTCGAGTTCAGATTTAGACTCTAAATCTTT